TTCCCAAAAAAAAATTAAGTTTAAAAACCTTCTCAAAAAATGGATTATAGAGAGAGGGCCCATTTCTACATATGAGTCAACCGACTCATGAAAACTATATCCAAAAAATTAGTGAAGAGCCTTAAAAATTTAACATAAGCTTGAGTAGTTAGCAGTTGACATTAGCAATGTTATTCGATTTTTATTTTTGAACAACCAGGAAAAAAAGAGAAAGAAAAAAAAAAATGTACTGCCCTAGATTATCTACTATTCCTTGTCCTATGGGGTGCAAAACAAGCTATAGTTATTTTGTATATTAAATTAAAATAATGATGTGCTTAACATGATTCCTTTGTTGTTGAATGTATAAGTCGAAATGATATGTGGGCAACCACATCACACCAACCGCTTATTATTATTAATAAGCATAATTTAATTAACCCCATCATAAGTTGGTAAGAGCCAGCGCATACTTGGCCAATCAGCTAAGCGTTTCATGTTAGGGTGTAAAATAAGCAACGTTGAATAGAATCGTGCCTTTCCAATTCTATTAAATTTCATATTTTTAATTTTTATAAAGGAAAATGTTGATAGGTAAAGCCTCACTTCATAACTCATTGTTAAATTGCAATTCAAAGTATTGGATCTCCAAACTAGCCAACTAAACAAAAACAGGATATAAATGAACCGGTTTAAGTGCCAATATTTGAACTCACCTCGCACTTTGAGAAAAGAGTACAAACATATGCTACCCAAATTAAAGTTAATTCATATACAAAAAATATAGAACTTTTGCATGATATATGTAATATGATATATAAATATATGGTTTTCTGAATGTGTAATACAAAAAGATGGAGTGCCCGCATTAAAGTTGATTTTGATATTAAAAATATAAATCTTTTGCACGATGTATAATATATATAGGTAGGTAAGATATCATTAAAAGAGATGAAACCCCTTAAAGCATTCCTAAAGGGGGAAATTATCTCTTCTTTCATTTGAGGGCATGTTTTTTTTTTTTTATTTCATTCATATACCTCCTCGAATTTTAAAAAAAAAAATAAATTATCCTTGTTTAGTATTTTGAATGAGGAACAATGAGGGGCATTTTTCTTATAGGATGAGTGTAGTTGAGCTGAGGATGTTGAGATGGATAAGTGGCAAGACAAAAAGAGTTATAATTTGAAATGAATATATTAAGGAGAACTTAGGTGTGGCTCCAATAGACGATTAGATGAGAGAAAGTACACTTACGTAGACTAGTCATGTGCAGGGTAGACCCAATACAACAATTATTAGGAGGTGTGAGTTAGTTCAAGTGGAAGGCTAAAAAATGACAAAGCGTAGGCTAAAAAACACATGGTTGGAAGTAGTGAGAAAATACATGGGGAGTTATAGCCTCACTAAGGGTACGACTTTTGATAGAGTAGAATGGCAGACTGAGATTCGTGTAGCAGACCCCAATTAGTTGGAAAAATGCTTTGATGAAAGTGATGAATCATGAGGGGCATTTCAATAATTTGACACCAATGAGGCCTCATGCAAATGACAAAAATACTCCTAGTTATTCTGCATTACAAATAAAGAATGTCTGTTGAATATTTGTAATGCGAAACAATTAAATGTATTTTTTGTCATTCTGCATTTCGATGTCTTGCATGTATTAAATGACAAAAATATTCTATTTGATCGGCATCACTCATACACAATAATATGTTCTTTATTTATAATGCAGAACAATTAGGGTATTTTCATCATTTTGATGAGTCCCCATAGGGTCAAATTATTGAAATGCCCCTTGTTGTTCCTCGTTCCAAATATTGGACAAAGGTAAAATTTTGAAAGAAGTATATGAGTGAAATGAAAAAGAAAAAATGTGTCCTTGAATAAAAATAGAGATAATATAACCCTTTTAAAAATATCTTTAAGGGGTTTCACTAGATTTCAATATACATATATACACGCATAATTTCCATGGCAAGCTAGAATGTACTGCAATATTTTTAATAACGACGGCATGGAGATGTTGACTTTGTCGTCTCCAATAAATTTTTCTGTTACTTTTTAACCCTTGAAATTTAAAACATAGAAAAAGTTTGTGCAAGTTTAAGGTTGAAATATTTTGTTTGGACCTTGAAGATTTTATACTAGGCGTGTCACTTTTTGACATTGTTTTAATGACACGTTAAATCTATATTGTCCAGCTAAAACAGATATATAAATTATCGAAATGTTACTTAATTAAGTTTGGTTGTTCGAAAAGAGTCCAGGTTTAATTGGTTAGCGTTTAAATGCTTCATTCAAAGCTCAATTTTTATCAAGGGCAGAAGCCCTTTCCCATTGACTCACCAAAAAAAAAAGTGTGGTTACCCTTTGATACACCTTTTATAAATATTGTAGTGTATATTTGAAACAAATCACTTATTTAACACATTGCTCAAGTGCCATTTTTTCACAGTTAATTTTTTCAATTTCTAAATTACCCTTTGTCTGGATTCTGAACCATGAACTATTTAGTAACACATTTGGATATTGAGTGTCTGAATTTGTATTGGTTTTTAAAAATGTTATGATTAGAGCATTCAATATCTGAACTCATCTGTTTTTCTTTTATATATTTGGTAATCGATGTCAACTTATCTCTCAATAAAAAATCATAAGAGAGTGGATTTGGACATCCGCGTGTTCCAAACTTGGTCACTTATTTTTTAAAATGTCGGACACGAGTTTGGATACCCAATGTTTGAACCCGCCAACTTAAAATTTTTTTTCTTTTTTTTTCTTTTTTTCCCCTTAATGGAGGGGGAAGGGACTTATCTCCTCTGTGAAACTAACTTCATAATGGGGGAATTGATTGTAGGGAATTGGGGACATGGGCAGTTGCTTTGCTATCTGGAACGAGGAAGAAGGTGGTGGTGGAAGGGCCTGTGTGTGCATCATCCACAAATCAGGTCATTGGATGGCATGTCAATACCAGAGACAACAACCTCACTGCCAATTTCTTCCTCAACATTTCCTCTTTTGCCTTCAATTCGTCAATCTTGTGGGATCCGGAGAGATGGGGCCGCTCTTCATCCATGCAACACAATTCTCATGTATCTTTCTACCCTCTCTCTCTAGGGATTTTACCATTTTTTACCCGCCTTTAATTGTTTAAATAGGGAAAATTGTCATTTAAAGGTTTAAAATCCTGTGCAAAATCATCAAGGGGTCGAAATATCTCAATTAATTTTTATCGTTTTATTTTGATTTTTATTTTGTCAAAGAAATTTTATATTAGAGAAATGCATACCTCACAAAAATTTATCTTAAAAATGTTTGAATTGATTATTTTTCAAGGTTGGGTACTCTAAAAAATGAGATGTTTCAGTAATTTATTCATGCTCTCATGAATTGGGTCGGGCCTCTTACATTGTAAAATTACTAAAATTCCACTATTTTTTCAAGGCTACATGATAATTTGGTTATTCCAAATATATATTTTTAAGGATGTATCTGAGTGAAATTTTTATTTCACTCTCTAATGTTATTTGAGATGTTTTGACACCTGTAATCGTCATCATCATCATCAACATCATCATCACCATCATAGTTTTTTTCAACTAAGTCAACTATAGCACAGATTCAAGATTCATGGAATATTTGACAAAGTTTTACCTGGGCTTACTACGTAACACAACCTACATCTTTTACTAAGGCTTGAGGTTTAGAACAAATTAAGGGAAAGTTTAAAGTCATCATCCTTTTTAGACTATCTTGGACTAGCTTCTTTAACACCCAACACCCACCCACCCACACGCCACGCCCCCCCCCCCCCCCCCGTCAGAAGCTTGGTGCCCTTCTTCCTATTTCCAAAAAGCAATTGAAAAGGTGGATAGTGGATAGTGTGGTTACCACAAGCCTAGAGGTCTGCGACAACGAGTAAAACCACACCTCGAAACCCCACCAAAAAAAAAGAAAAGAAAAAAAGGAACAATTTTGGTGTCAAAAGCCTTTATAATGGACTAAATATTTATTTCAACTTGTGATTGTGATGTAATAAGCATAAGAGAAATATATCTAACCAAAAATTGTTTAATCTTCACTAGAAATTTACAATATAATGGGTGAGGTTTATATAAGGTGTCAGCCTTTTACTAGTGAAATAAGGTGCCCACAAAGCCTTGCGATGATATGAAAATCTATTGTTACCCTAATTATGAAATTTAAAGTTCCAAAAATAGTGATGATCAAACAGATCTATGAATACTTGAAAATCTTAAAAATAGAAGGTCTATATTTTTTTTTATTTTTTTGGCACTTTACTTAAAGAACTCTCACTTATTGTTTTTTGTTTTCTGCTTAACCTTCCTCGCCTTGATAATTCATGGCTTAATCATATGGTGTTTGAAACAAAGGCCATGTGTTGTGCCTCACTTTACTATTTTATTGACTTAATTTACTAAACATCTTTTCTGGTTCTATATTTCTACTTTTCGCTTCCACAACCGTAAAGATCCTAATAGTTTGATATGGGTTGCTATTTTTCAATTATTTAGACTTTTTTATGAGTAATATCTATTTTGTTATTTAACTTTTTAAGTATTTTAGAAATGTTTACTATATATTTGCTTTGATGTTTGTATTACGATGCAATCATTTTCATTCCTTGTGATTTGGTGTTTGAGTTGGTTATCGAGAATAATATTAATTTCCTGCAAATTATTTTCTACATATTTTGTTTTTGACAATTTGGTATTCTTTATCACTTTTGCGTTATTTATTTTTTTGTTTTTTATTTTAATATCATGCCTTTTCTCCATTTTAATGAGGAATGCCATGCTTTATAGAGCTAATATCCGATAAGTTGTTCTAAAAATAATATATAGTTTTACCCCAATTTATTAAATATTATGGAAAATTTTCATTTTGATTAATTTGTATGTTTGTTTTCCTTCTAAAATCCATCTTCGAACTACAGGATGGGTCAAATATTTCACTGGTTAATATACACAAAATAGTGAGCATGAATCTCAAAGGAAAAAAAAATTTTTGAACTTCAAAAGTAGTCTGTTTTGAACTTTTATTTTTCTTCATTCTTCATTTTAGTTCTTCACAGACCATTGGATCTGCACTACATGTATTGCTAGTGATTTAGGAATTGTTTTATATCCTATATCCATGTGATACCAAGGTTCACTCTTGCCTTGAGAGCGCACGTTAAACTTATCGTATTTTTTTATTATTTTGACTTATAATGGATCCTTATATTTTGTTCTCTATTTCTTTCATAAGTATTATTTTTCCTTTCTTTTTATGAGTAAATATGATGGCTGTGTGATGAAATATGAAGTTTTTTTTGGTTTTTCAACTTTTTGTTATAATAGGGGTATATAGGATTATATTCTATGGGGCCATTTATCTTTGTTGAAAGGATGTCACAATTACTCTCAGCCATCATATCCAAAACTGGATGAATTGGGGTGTATTACGAAGTTCAATAAACTTCTTTTGTGAACCTTGAGTATATTTCATGCTACATAATTACCAAATTTGAAATATGATAGACATCAATGATTGCGACCTCATAGTATTAAAAGTAAATAGTCTTTTTGTATACTTTTCCTAAGGGGAAACTATGGTCAAGGTCAATTTTAAGTATACATAAGACAGTGAAGTTCGAACGTAAGTTCTATTAAAATGAAGCACAAACATGCCCTCAACCACTTTTATGTCCTAAAATAAAACTATAATATGAAGTAAATGTTTCTATGTATGCAAAAAATAGAATATTTTAAAGATAATTTTTTTTTTTTTAATATTCATGATTACGTTAGTCTAGATTCGTGATATATAAAATTTTGGATCCAAAATCCATCTCTAAGATAGATATTTAAAGGGGAATCAATATTGAACTCGTGCGTCGATGCAACAAAACCTTCCCATATTCCTTTAAAAAACTTTACTAGTTCTACCAAGATAATGACATTGTCCATTAGCTCTAGCACATTTCTCATGAACTGGCACATGGAATTGTCTCCTCTCCTCTCCTTGAGTAATAAGTCATTGATCTTTGCTATTCAATCGAGATAATTTTGTTTGGTTTTGTGACTGCAGAACTCAATTGAATTCGTCCAGAACCTGGTTCTGGAAGACGAGACTAAAGTGCAGGGTCTGCCAAAGGGTTGCTCCAACATCATGTTGTGGCGCCTCTATCTCCAACCACCATCTACTCTTTCGAATTTTCCGAACCCCCGGGGAGCCTGGACCTTGGACCATCATCTACCCCTAAACCTCCCCTTCTCTGCATCCTCCTCTCAAAGATAGCGAAGAAACTGTTACATCTACTCTCAAATATGGTTTTTTTTTTATTCTTTTGTCAATTTTTTAAATCTTTTCTTTTGGGTTTTTGGGGTTGTAATTCAGGCAAACCATTCATTCATGGTTTCCAATTTATACTCAATGGTGATATACTACTTCAGTTTCCCTACAAGTCTGTTCAAATACAGAGACAGAGATAGATGGATAGAGAACCTTGGTGTTGAATTCATGTGCCTCATTAATCAAGTTCTAAAGAAGGTTTCCATTGTACACCTAAAGAGAGTTGGGAAGCCACTTAGGAATGAGTAAGATTGCGAATAACAATGTATAAACAAAATCGGTATCGGGTAATCGGCCTCGCCCCTTAAGCCGAGGCCGAGTAACTTGGCTGAATCCAAGTCACCTCGGCTGTGTCCAAAAACGCTGGAAGGAACCTTGTTTAAATCTAAGCCATGCTTAACTTTCCTAGCTTGGAACAAAAATTTATCTACTTGGGCTTTCTTTAGCTTATATTGCTTAAGGAGAAAAGTTCTCTATTTTTGGTAGGGTCCTTCCTAGAGAACTCTAGTAGGGGTCTTCTTCAAATATGTGAAGCTCCCACTATAAAAAGGAGAATGTGGCTTATTGGTGGCACAAGAGAGCCAAGAGGGAAGAAAGTAAAGAGAGGAAATGATGGCATTTTATAGAGGGAAAAAGTTTGGGGCAGCAACAGCATAGTCCTTGTACACTTTATCTTTCACTATTGCAATAAAATCTAGAGTTGTAATTTTATTCGTTTTTTTCTAATTCATTATTGTTAATCATTAGTAAACTTGAATAAGATAGTACTTTACCCATTATTGATTTATTTATGAGAAATTGTTTTCTGGGTGTGGTTTGTAAAGGTTTCAACTTTAAACAATCAAATTATTTTTATCATAAATATAATTTTGTTGTCAAAAAATCTTGAGATGGCTTGAGAATCTATTTTCATCTCTAATTCTAAAATTTTAAACTCAAAACATAGTTCAAATCAAGTAGATCTGTAAACACTTGAAAATCTTGAAAATTGATGGTCCAAATAATGTGTCGCAAGATACACTATTTTTAGTACTCTAAATCTATTTTTATTTTCATATTCATACATCCCAATGTCGAGAGGACCAATTAAGGGTTTCCAATGTCAAAACATCCTTTTATGATAGATTTTTGAGGTGCACCTTAATTCTAAATTTTAAAGTTACAATCTTATATAAACTTTGTCATTTTTTCTTATGTTATATAATTGCTTCCATGATCCAACCATAAATTCCTTGTTTAACAAAGAGTACTATGATAATTGGAGCGTCCAAATGAAGGACTTACTGAGCTTGCATGATTTGTGTGATATTGTAGAGATGTGGTTGTCAAGCAAGATGAAGTTGGACAGCCGTGAAAAAAAAAGTATAGGAAAGGCTTGAAAGATTTGGGGACAAAAACCAAGCAAACCTTGTCCATCAATTATAAAAGGGCTGAGGAAGTTTTAGACTACAATATCTATTTTTTACCATAGCTTTAATGGATTTTCACTATAGTTTGGTTCGAGGGTTTTTTATATCTCGTGATTTTTATTTAGTTGTTTTATTTCATTGATAGTTTACAACGGTACTTGTGCTTTACAAGGACAGGAATTGGTATCTTTTCTCCTTTTTAAATAAGTACCAGTTTATCAGTATGAATTTCTATTGAATAGTGATTTTAAAAAACTTTAAGGAAAATTTATGAAGCTATGTTCTTAATGGAATTTGAATAATCTTAACAAAAATCATTTAAAGGAGTCGAAATGGCCAACAAGGTGATTCTTCAATCCCTGATAATAATTATCTTTTATTTAGAGCAAACTTTTGGGTACATTGATAATAAAAGATGATAAAAATGAAAGCAGAAGAAGAGGAAGAGGCCAAAGAAGAAGAGGTTTGCCCAAAAAGGAATAGGAAGAAGACCTTTTTAAATAGAGCTGGAAGATGATCAAGTTGATATTCATCAAGTGGAGAGGTAAGTTTTCATCAGGTGGAGAGGTGAGTGAGATTTTATTTGTCACAGCAACAAACTAAAGAATGGAAGGAGGTGAGTGAGATTTTTGTTGGGTGAGTATGGCCATTAAAGGCCTTGTGAGTGCTTGTAAAATTAAATAATATAGTGGAAACAGGAAATCAGTTGGAGTGTGGCCCCTCGTGGACTATACTAAACAAAGAGTACTTGCTGATACTGGACTGTGCTTGATAGTTTAGACCAGTTGGTAGGGAAAAACCTATGTTACCTGGGTATAGAGTACAAGCCGATAAGGGTTTTAATGGGTCATCCCTTGATGAGGTCGGAATATGCCTGGATAAGTGAGCCGAGGGACTGTGTGACCTTTGTGTCTGATGGTAACCTTCAAAGATGGAGGCCAAAGCCGCATCCATATATTATCACACAGCATGCATATTAATAGACCGCTTCAAGAAAGCTAGCCACCTTTCAAGGTGAAGCGTATGCATGTGCGAGAGATACCCCATTACGTCATAGGAGTTGTAGTCTCATCAGGTCTAGGTGACCTTAGCCCATCTCTAGGGGAGAACCTGAAATCTACAGACTGGGATTGTAACCCCTTGACTCATCAGCCAGACTTTTGTGACCCACTAATGAACCCCTACACGGACTGTGGGTCATGAAAAAAACTGGGTCGGTTTGATAAAGCAAGTGTGATACGTAGTCCACAGTTGAAGGTAGAGTGTCACAGTGCTTGATTGATTTAATTCCTATACCATATGGATCATTTTTTCATCTAATGAATTAAATTATATTCGTTTTATGATATAAATGGTTTTAGAATTATTATTTAAATTTTTCTAGATCTTTGGATATTTTACTTATCAAATTTGGGTTTATAAAATCATAAATATTGATCTTACATTAATTTAAATATTCAAATAAATTTTAAAATTATTTTATTGAGTTTTAAAAATATTTAAAATTGCATGGGGCCCATTGTGCACATGGGCTCACCATGGCCTAGATGGTGGGGCCCATGAGATCCTCTCATGGGTGGCATGCCCTACCCATTTAAAAGCTTACTATTTTTGTGATAAGTGATTTTGGCTTGTAGGCCAAGTTGCTATGTGTTTTGGAAAGGTAGTGGCTTGAGGAAGCTTCGAATGAGTTTTTGGAAAGCATGAGAAGGCTTATGCATTATTTTGACATGCTCAATATTATATTTAAAATTATTTTATATAATTTCTATTGATGGAAAAATAGTTTAGAAAATGGGAATAAAGGTTCTAGCATCTTAAATAAAGTTGATAGTCCATCTATGGAATGGATGGCCCAAATCTCTTACCACACAAGTCACCCATGATCAATGGTTCATATTCAATCTCAGAGAAGCAAGCGAAGGAAAACCTTAAAAAACCCTAATATTGTTTAAAGCCTATAAAAAAGGTTGGTCTCTACTTAAAATCTCTACACATTATCTTTCTATCTCTCTCTTAAGAAAGTTTATCTCTCTCTCATGAAAGCCTAAAGGGGGCACTCTCCACTCTCTCATATTTGATCTCTCTCTCCCACATTGTGAAATAACCTAAGGGTTTAGGCTATGGGGTTCTTCTGTCTTCCATCTCTCAACTGTGGATTTATGGCTAAAGGTTTTAGGGTATAACAAAAAGAGAATTCATCTCTCTCAAACTAGGTTGTTAAGGAATTCACCTAGGGTTTGAGTTTATGATCAAAAGGGCTCTTATTCTATTAGTGTGGCTTGGCCTACACTTGCTTTTCCGGTTAAGAATGAAGGTTGATTAATGATCTCACATCATCGGATGGTGGTGACTCGGTGTGGGGATTGAGGTAATCTCTGGCACTCTCTTTTTACTTCTTGTCATATTTAATTATATTGTCTTTATATTCTCAAATATAAGAATTATGGATTTTTTTTTGTTTAAAGAAATTAATTTAATGATATCAACGTTTTTAAAATCTTGAATTTGTTAGTTTTATAAGACTGCTTGTAAGTGATCTTTGCCCAAAGAAAAGAAAAAGGGTGAAAAAAAGAAAAATAAATAAAATATATATATTCCCCGGCACGATCGTATTAGTCTTTAATTCATTGATTTCAGAGCTATTGGCACTTGATGTCATTAGTTGTAATGTTTGTAGTCAAGTAATATACCCCAGTTAAAGAATTATTGGAATATTCAAACACCAAAAAAACACTCTGCATAAAGGGTATTCTGGGCTATTTTGGAACAGTGATATGAAGAAGATAATGATGTATTTTTCTTTTGTATACTTCAATGATATTATGTGTATTTGATATTAGGATCTACCTGCAAAATTTCAGTAGAGATCCTAAGGGAATTGAGAGTTATGGAATCATCAATGAAGGGTGTCAATTCTGACCCTCTAACATCTAGAAACTGTCCATTGAGTTCTGTAATTTTTTCTATTAATTATATAATTTTATTTCTTACTGAAATTATACTGTGACTCATAAATTGGAGTCTACTTTCTAACAAAAAAAAATCATCAAGATAGTCCTTGTGCTTTGAAGGTTATGATCAATTTATGGAAGTGTGCGCAAGTATTGTTTTCTGCAACGAAAACTATGTCTATGACTTAGAAATCATGATTTTATTTCTATTCTTAATGGAATGTTTTATAGCTCACATTAAATTTTTAGATTTCAATTATGAGTCTAGTTTCTAATAAAATTTATTTGAGAGATAAATATAAATGGGAAGAGAGGAATAAAAATTTTAGATTGAAGAGAGGTCATCTTGAATTTTCTGAAATTTGGTATGTTCTTCATTGAAACATGAATAGCTATATTTATCAAGCCTACTTAACAGAGTGATATAAGGTTTGTAGAAATATATGTATTACTATTATGTGTCTACTTTCAAATAAAATTTGTTTGAAAGAAAACTCCATGAGGGTAGAGAGAAAATACAATTTTACTAGATAGTGTTCATATTAGAATTTTGCAGTATGATTTATTTTGTGATGTGAATATTACTTATTTATTTCTATGAAAAAAAATATTATTTGGGATTTACATTATGATATTATGATTTGGTTTTGAGTCTAGTTTTCAACACAAAATATTTCAAGAAGAAATTATTTGAGGATTGAGATAAACAACTTTTTTATTGAGATGTGTTTAACCTGATTTTCTGC